TAAAAAAATACGTCCTATGCTCTCCATTTAATTTGTTTCCAAACATGAGCTGTGGATGTACTGTCAAATTGCATAATAGGGTTTTCAACATATATGTGGTGTTTAAGGATTAGTCATATCCTTGCCATCTGTGAGTTTCCATGGCTGAGGAGGGATTTGAACTCAGGTCTCCGGAGACCATGTTTACCGCTCTATACGTGACACCATACAGGTTCCTTAATGCAATTAGTTGTGGCCTTCATTTAAGAGACAGGGAAACTGATCACGAAGAAGATGGGCTTGACTAAAGCCATTTAATGAAGCTACTGCTGAGAAAGAATGTTTATGTATTTATTTTATTTAAAAATATTTTTGCCCTGCCTTTCTCCTTGAAAAGGATCCAAGGTGGCTTACAAACAATGAAAGACAGTACAGTATTTAAGGTTGAAAACAACGAGCATACAAGGGTGGCTAGCATAATTAAAATACAATATTTAAAACTACGAACAATGAATAAAGAGGCATCTTAGAACATTAACAGGCAATATTAAAGCAAAGATCAGTAAGTATACAAAAAAGGCACTCTGGGAAATGGAAAATACAAGTAGTACTAAAAATCCAGTCAAAGCAATAATGTGTAACAATACTTCCCCTGCAACCATGACTGTTAGCAGCTTGCGGTATATCTTATAATAAATTTCCTAATTTCTGGATTTCCAATTTCTACAAGCAGTTCTGTGCTTTTCAACAAGGTATTCACTACTTTGCAACCTTTCAACAATCTGTGGTCCTGCAGGCTGTTGTTCAACTGCAGCTCCCATGATCCATAAACAGTGTAGCCCATTTGGAAGGATGATGGGAGTGGCAGTCCACCATTAGGAGGATTACATGCATCCTATGCCTGCTTCAAAGCATGAAAATGCAGTAAACTGAAAGTGGGGCAGGAAGGAGTAGCGTACTAATTTTATCCAGGTATGAAGGAACTGCATCAGAAAGAAAACGGCATTATTAAAGGGGGGAAAGAGAGAAAGCAAAATATTGCAGCGACTAGCAAATTTATTTCACTGTGAGCTTTTGTGGACCAAATGTACTTCAGACACAGGGAATCTGAAGCTCACACTGAAATAAATCTGTTTGTCTTTAAAATGCCACAATATTTTGCTTTTTCTCTCTTGCTGCCCCTTCTTTTTCTCCTTTAATTTTGCCAACATGCTGAGAAAGACTAACATGTCTACTTTGGAAATCTAAAATCTAAAATATTTTCAATTCTGCTTGCTGTTGTACACCCAATTTCTGTACTTATATTAATTTGAGCTACTCTTTCCCCAAACACCCTTTCTCCTTTACCAAAGGGTTCCAAATGGATTGTCCCTCATCTTTTCCTGATTATTTTTCAGCTGTATTCATCTGTTTTGTATGTTGCTTGACAATTTATTCCAAAATGTATACAGTCAAGACTAACAGTACATAACTAAAAAAAAAAAGTTTAAAACAAGAAAGTGTTAATTACTTTGATAATATAGGTTTTGTTTCATGTGGTAAAGAAGAGAAAAAAACAAGTTACCATATTGATCTGAATGAGTTGTTTGAAGATTGACTGCCTGGCTGTTTTGTTAACACGAATTATCCATGGATGCCAATGTTCATAGAACGTGCTTCAAAAAACATTTCTCCCCATTTTTACAAGAAATTTCCAGACAGTGATACACTTTCTTCATCTATCCCGACCTCTCATCATGGACTAATCAGCCATCATCTGAAGTTTCCTTCCTTTTTGGGTGCCCTTTTCACCGGCTGCCAGTATGCCTACCCTGGAACCTGAGCAACTGGCTATCAGAGAAATGAGAGAGGATGAAGCACCAATAGTCTTGGAACTTCTGAAGGTGAGAAACACTTGAAGAAGATTGTTTTGCTTGCATAAACTCTTTTCTTTTTTTTCTTAGTTTATAGAATTGTCTGTTGCAGGAGTGGGCAACATGTCGCCTCCAGATTTTGCAGGGTGGATTTGGCAGGTGGTGAACAATCCAATGCTGGAGTCATTCGAGAGAAAATTGGACAACCATCTCTCAGATGTGCTTTGACTTCTGCATTGAGCATGGGTTTGGACTCGACGGCCTTACAGGCCCCTTCTAACTCATTGATTCCATGATTCTAAATCAAATTGATTTAAATTACATTTTAAAGTTTTTTTAAAAATCAGGTTTTTTTGGCAATTTAATGAAAAATTTAAATCATGAATTAAACTGATTTTAAAAAAAACATTGATTTTTATCCACCCCTTTCTTGGGGGCTGCACAATGTCCATTCCTGTACTGTGGGATGGACCTATGGAATATGTCTCTCTTAACAAAAACGTTACTTCGGATTACTAGTTTACAAATGGATTGTCAGTATCTTTACTGGTCTTTGTACCTGAGCCTTTTTACAAGAGCATCATTGTCCAGTTTAGCAGGTAATAGTACTTGTATTATCTATAACTTTAAAGCCTCCTAGACTAAACTACTATTTTAATGACACTATTTTTTCTTACTAAGCTTGGGGGTTCCTCAGAAGCTTCTCTAGAATGCTTCAAGGAGAAGATCTGTAACATTAAACAAGCTTTCCTAAAAAGTATAACAAAAACAGACAGATATCAAGGGTTGTGGTGGCTTTAGGATTAAAAAAAATACTTTATCATGAACTTTCATGAAAAAGGTACTGTGCCTATTACTGTGCATGATTTGCTGCTATATGCAACTGTAAGGGATTTTTTTCTCTCATTTGTGGGAACAGAATATTTCTGTATGTATATGGAGACAGAGGTCGAGGCAGAAAGAGATAAGGCATATTTTTAAAGCGTCAAAAATGCCTTCAGGCAAGTTTGTTCTGGATCCCAGAAGGAGGCAGTTAAATTTCAGTGACTATCAGTCTCTTCTAAAATATTCTTTTAATATTTTCAAGAAGAGAAGGAATGATTGATAATCTTTTCCAGCTAGGATCAGACAATAAGAAATATTGTTACCAAAAGTGATTTTATGCATAAATGAGGAAGAACGCTTCCTGAGTAGGGGAGTTGTTCCCCCAATGGAACAAGAAGTCGAGCGGTCCCATTGGTACAGTTTTCAGTGGGGTATCCTGTTTCCAACTTCACATTCCCTTTTGGTGTCCACCATTGCCAGATGAATAGAACAGAATTAAGATGTGGAAAATATAGAATGATTCTGCCATTTGCAACCTCCCCAATGCCAGCAAATGGCGGCTTTTAAGGTTGTTTCTGTTACCTAGCTTTTATTTTAACTCCATGCAAATTGTCACAGAGGACCTGTGTTTTTTTTCCCCTTGAAGCTTGTGGAGGGAAAGCATGTTTGGAAAATGCCTTAGACAGAGCAAGTCCTACTTCAGGGTGATCGTCATTATTTAAGTCCCTCCTAGCACTCTAATTTCATATATCTTCCTGTTTCTTTTCCCACAGGATGGATTCAAGGATACAGAGAACCGCTTAATATTGTATGTCCTGACAAGGCCGCTGGCGTTGCTGCTAATGGCGGTGGTGAGCAGCGGCCTGCGTTTCTTCCTGAACTCTTTTGTGGTGGCACTTGTGCTGCCAGTGGTGCTCACCGTAGTGGCTCTCAAACTTTTGCTGTGGCGCTCACCGGATCTGAGGCATCTGTATGCGTATTATAATGTAGGCCAGCGTGGGATCTGGGTGGCTGTGTATGATGAGGATGATGTGTGTGGCTGTGTAGCTTTGGAGCCCTGGAGTGGGGAACCCGGCGCAGCTGAGCTGAAGCGCCTGGCTGTCAACAGATGGTACCGTCGCTCGGGTGTAGGCCGTCGCCTCCTCAGTTTCCTGGAGAATCAGGCTCGTGCCCAGGGCTTCAAATTCTTGGTGGCCCAGGTCTCAGTGGTCACCAAAGCAGCAATTGGGCTCTTTGAGAACACTGGCTACAAAGTGAGTGGTGGACGTCAGTGGCTGGGTTACACCATTCAACAAGAGTTCATCAAGGAGCTTTTGTAGCTATGTTTGTCAGTTAGCTACCCACCAAGTTACCTAGGGAAACAGGGAGAGGACAGCACGTGGCTTATGGAGAATTTTGCCCCCAAAGAACAAAGTACAGAGCTCCAGAAACAGTCACTGCCAGCCCACGTACAGGGCAGTTCTTTGCCAAAACGAGGTGGCTTTCTTTCCCTGGAAAATGAAGACTCTGCAGCCATGAATGTGAAGCTAATCAGAGGAACGATTGTCTGTCACAATCTACTGATCCTAGTATGTCATTCACACTCAGTGTGACATAGGGATTTCAATCCTAGGTTATGAGCCTGGAGTTTGGGAAATGAGAACGACCAAAATCCATTCCCTGTGTTCTTCCTGAGGTCAGGCTGTGTATCATCAATGCAAAACACATCCAAATTTTAAACCAAGGTAACCTCATTCTGGGAGCTGAGTAAAATGAACATGTTTGGTATTGATTACCATATACAGTGGGGGCCCGCTTGACGACGATAATCCATTCCAGCAAAATCGCTGTAGAGCGAAATTATCATCAAGCGAAATAAAAAACCTCATTGAAATGCATTGAAAACTGGTCAATGCGTTCCAATGGGGGAAATACCTCACCGTCTGGCGAAGATCCTCCATAGGGCGGCCATTTTCCCGTGCCTGTATAGTGAAGAATTGGTCCTGAACACAGCGGGGAGCCATTTTGAAAACCCGACGATCAGCTGTTTTTGATTGTCGTTAAGTGAAAAATTGGTTCCTGAAGCAGGGAATTAATCGTCGTCAAACGAAAATTGCCCATAGAATCATCGTTTTGTGATCGCAATAGCGATCGCAAAAACATCTTCGCCAAAAGATTTTGTCGTATAACGAGATAATTGTCAAGCGGGGCACTACTGTACCATGCCCTTGGTCTGCATGTCTCTTTAGAAGTTAACAGGCCCCTGCCCCAGGAAACTTACTGTCTAGAATTTATTTTCATTTTACTAACCAACCAGAATGCTGATAGCACATTCTAAAGGCTCACTCCCCTGCATATCATCCTAAATGTATGTTTGCCTCTAAGATGTCATTACTATATGCCAACATTAATTTTGCCCTTAGCAAGCAAGCAGTCTACATAGATAGCTAACAAAGACATTCGGGATGTTGAACTGTCCAGCAGTTTCCACTGTCTTACTTTCATATTTATTTGTTTATTTATTTATTTGTTTATTTTCTACTTTTCTCCATGCATATCATCCTAAATGTATGTTTGCCTCTAAGATGTCATTACTATATGCCAACATTAATTTTGCCCTTAGCAAGCAAGCAGTCTACATAGATAGCTAACAAAGACATTCGGGATGTTGAACTGTCCAGCAGTTTCCACTGTCTTACTTTCATATTTATTTGTTTATTTATTTATTTGTTTATTTTCTACTTTTCTCCACATGTAGTCAACTGTCCAGCAGTTTCCACTGTCTTACTTCCATATTTATTAGTTTATTTATTTATTTATTTCCTACTTTTCTCCGCATGTAGTCACCTAAGGTGGTGAGGACATGTAGCAATCAAATTTTAAAGAGTCCAGCAAGCAAATTTGTTTGCAAGCAGTTTATTTTGTAAAGAGCAACCCCCAATTAACCCCTTTACGCATCACATTCAGCTTCTGTCTGTTAAATTATTTGACAGACATGCACACTACAGCTTTGGTCGTCTAGTGATGGTTTGATAGACCAGTCCCCTGTGTATATTTGAGTACCTAGGTAGGTAGGATGAGTGAAGGAAAGAAATACATAGTCACCTTAATTTCAGCTCAGGGAGAATCATCATATGAATGTTTCCTCGGAAGTAAATGTACAGTGTTCAGCATGGTTTACATTCTAGTACAGTGGCTGCCAACCTTGGACAACCCACGTGTTCTTGGACTGCAACTCCCAGAAACCCTGGCCAGCACAGTTAGTGGTGCAGGCTTCTGGGAACTGCAGTCTAGAAACATCTGGGTTACCCAAGGTTGAGAACCACTGCCCTAGTAGATGAGTTTAGAAGAAGGCAACTTTCCTGCGAGCAGATCCCCTTGAGCTCAGTATAATTTAGACTTGAGTGGGCATGTATATCCATATTGTGTTGCTTTCTGTTTTCATGCTACATTGAAAAGCATGTGTCAGTGCTCTTTGTGGCATGTATAGTTGTAATGAAGCACAACAGCTGTGTAGAAGATAAATTATGCATTCCAGGCCAGTGGAAATTTTATGGTGGCTGTATAAACTGGTTGAAGCAGAAACCAATTTAAGTTGCCCATCTGAAGCCATTTGTACTTTGAGTTCCCCTTACTGCCCCTTCATCCGTCAACTGATCTCTTGGTTAGAATCAAGTATAAAAGGGAATGGTTAAGCGTTCATGTGGTTTGAATTGTTCCTTCCCCAAATCTGCTTTTACTTACCACAGGATGAATATCATGTGATCTTCCTGCACCCCCCACTGATATTATTTCCCAAAATGTCCTCATGTGCCCTCTAAGGGGCCCTATTCTGCCCTGTTTTGAGAGACCTCCACCACTTTATGAGGCCCCAGTGCACTTCCAATTTTATCCACATTTTATAAGAAAAATTGGGCAAAGGGGTGTGTGTGGGTTTGGGCGCAGCCCTCCAAACTTAACAGAGGTGTGTGTGCGTTGCTGAACCTCTGAAGGTTGCCAGCCCCTGATGTGGCAGAAAGAAACCACTGCAGCTTTGTTTCTCTTGTTTGTGTGGAGCACGTAGCTCAACTTTTTAATATGTTTTCAAGTCAATTCCAACTTAATGGCAGTCCTAGGAGGGTTTTTGAGGTACGGGAGACATCTGAGTGGTTGACTGTGGCACCGCCTGTCAATGAGTTTCCCATGGGTGAGTGCTGATTCGAATCTTTGTCTCCTGAGTCTTAGTCTTGCACTCTATCCAGCACAGTGGGAATAGCCCTCATAGTTTAGCCTACAAAGGGGAAATTACAAACGCTCTCCTTGGTACTTTATCATATTAGATGGATTGGGAATAAGCTATTCAGGACTTAACTGGTCAAGACAGGGTGGCAGCTGAACCCATCACTTGTGTGAACATGATGCTTTCATCTTCCTATGTAGGTCTAGCCGGATTTGTTGTATTGGTCCCCCACCAGGAGTACACAGCAGCCTGAAGTGCTAAATGAGCAGCAAAGACAGTAAACGTTGTGCTCTGTGTACACGAAAACACTTCATGAAGTGCTTCAGCTTATCAGCAGGAAGGTGTACCTCTACAGAAGGAGGACCCAAGGGGGAGGCCATAGTATATCCATGCACATTGCTTTACAATGCCTGTTAGTAGGGGGTGCCATGTGTAGCAAAGAAATTTTATCTGTACTATTCTCAGCTATATTCTCTGTACTTGCAGATGACGAGTGAATGGTAGGTATTTGCTTGTATGAAAGAACAGAAACAGTTGTATCTGAGGACACCAATGGGAGAGGGCGTATCCTCTCCTCAGGCATCAAGTAGTTAGGTCTGACATACTATAACTAGACAACAAACTCTTATTCCCCACCAAATTCATCAGCACTTCTGGATGCATGGGACAGCAACAAACAGCTGCAGCATTGAACATTTGCTTATTTGCTTGTCTTGCATTCTCACTACAGGCACTCAGCATTTCTGCAACCACTAAGCATGTTTAATTCTTACTCTGTTTTGGGGAGGCTCATTATATACATATATGCCTGAACCTGCAAACAATTCCATCTTGCTTTCCAGTAGACATTTTTTGGCTGCATAGTAATATTAATTCAGTATCTGAGTTGCTATCAGTATTTCTTCTGTAGAAGCAATGAGAGCCAATGACAGCTGCAGTCGTACACACTCCTGTTTCTAACCCCAAACCATCACACTAACCATGCTGGATTTCACTGTTTGTGGTTGACCTGGCATGTGATAGGTGTGTGTGTGTGAGGGGGCGGGGAAGGCCAAGGTTGGTATTGCTGAATTCTCAGTTTTGAGAGACCTCCACCGGTCATTTACCTTGCACATGCAAGACCAAGACCTGGCAAAATCTCATAAAGGGGACACAGATGTCTGGTTCAGAGGGAGAGTCAAGGCTAGATTCAAATGACATGTGAGAGTTCCAAAACTGGGAATCAGTGTGATTTTATGCAGCTCAGTAACAGCAAGAGTTGGGTGGGCATTTGGCCTGGGGACATGCCACTGGGATTTGACGTTTTTAATATTTCTCCTTACACAGTTTGCTCTGTTAAAACATGCATCCTACTTACCCTATGGGGCAAAACATTTGTACAGGCACCTACCTGCAGGTTTGTCTTCAACTGGGTAAAGAGTCTCTTGGCAAGGAATTAAACTTGAGAGATGGCTCAGGGAAAGGAGTTAAGCCTACCCAATCTTCCCAGCTACATAGGTGCTGTTAGCAATTTTAAAAAAATCCAAAGAAAACTCTGTGGATCTCATCAAATTTTGCCCTGATGTAATTTTCCCAAGAGAAAAGGGGGTGGGGGTGGGGAAGGAAGTTAGTATACCATAAACCTTCAAGGGTACATAAAGGTGTCAGTGAGGCAAGGGAGCCATATAGTTTGTGCTTAATTTCTGATAGAAAGATTTTGCTCCAGGGGTTATGAACATGTAATTCAAAAGGAGTGACTTCTAAAGGTGTGTGGTTTGCATGTGTGTGTGTTAAGTAAATGTGTGGTGAGGTTGCTGTTGCATTAAGAAGTGAGGTTGGGGTGAGGGGTATTGAGATTTAAGAAGATGTAAAACTCTGGAAACATGTTGTTTTATAAATAAATGTATTTTAAAACATTTATATAGTTTCATTTGTATGTTTCAACCCATTTTTAAAGCACTTTGAATAGTTGAATTGTGTCTAATCTAAGCTACTTTGGGGAAACTTTGGGATTGAAATTTAGGAAAGGAATTATATTTTTTTTAAAGACTCTGTTAAATAGTATGTTATATTGGAAGCCGCCTAGAGTGGTCTTATAGACCAGATGGGTGGGGTACAAATTAAATAAATAAATACATAAGTATGGACCTTATCCATTCTCTTGCTCATATAAGTTGACCTTTCTGAAATGTTATCAAGGACTGCCCTATGCAGGAATTTATTATAGTGCTCTAGGCTCAAAGCGATTTAAAAAACTAAAGTATTGAGGCTGAAGCTTATTCTGAAGATGTTCTCTTTAACATCTGGCAGTGATTTCCCCAAATTCCAAATTGTGATTGACTTTGTATTAGTGCAGAGAATGATACTCTTTGTAACCTGGACCTATAAGGCAGAGATTAGGCTGTATATTCAATTAATACATTAAACATAAATATTTTGTATGTACAGCAGCATAGACCCAAATGCTGAAAATAGGGCTGAATGACTTTCTAAAAAGGCATGTTGATATACGCAAAAATAGAGTAACCAAAGATCTTAGCAACAATACACTCCTCTGGATTTTACTGGTCATGACTTCAACCATCTCAAGTAGCTAGCCACTTTTCTGTGTTACCCTGGAATGTTTGGCTACATCATGCGGAGTTGCTATGGTTATCAGTGATTGTGCCAAAAACCATTGAACTGGGCCAGCAGCAGAAATTTTCATTGTGCAGGAATTCGGACAAGGGTTGAATCTCCCAAACTAGAGGCAGCCACTCTGAATCCAGAGGTTGCCAGATAAAAACACCTTCTTCCAGATGGGCCTCTGGTAGTGTCTTCCTTGTGGGCCCCACCCCCCTTGCTACCTCAGCCTGGCTGTTTCTGTTTGCCTTTTCCCAAATGCAAGAACTGACCAGCTGCTTCTCTGTTCCCAGGCTCTCCTGGCTGGGATCAAGAGTGTGACTCATATTTCCTGTGACGCTTCCCCTGTGGATGGAGTTGGCTTTGCCTCATTGCTCCTGCTCGCTGTGCTACCAGCGAGCATCAGTCTAAATTTCCTCTTGGTGTGGGTGTGAAAGAAACCTAAGAGTGTCACAAAGGATAAGATTTCCACAGATCTGGATACCTGAAAAGGAACTGTGATGCATGTTACCCTGTCTGGATAACTTTTATGCTTTCTTGTATCTCAACTTCTCCCCAAGAACTCAGCCCCAATATAATTAACATGGAAAGTTCCAGTTCGTTCTATCCCACATTATATGAGCAAGCCAATAATTGTAAGAACTCATTGTACAGGCGAGAAACTGAGGCAGAGGGACTTGTCCTCAGGCTGACTTGAGATACAAGCAACGGATAAGAACAAACTATGTAATACAGTATAGGAGAGAATCTGCCAGTTGAAGAAGTGGGAGGACTGGGCCAAATGTGACCCTCCAGATGTTGCAACTCCCGTCAGCCTGCAGGACTGTAATCCCGTCAACATCTGCATGACTGTAATTTGCCAAACTCCGATTTAACTCTTTATTCTTGCAGCATTTTTCAGGTAAACGTGGCTTGCCCACTCTGGTGGCCCCATGGCAAGCTGATTATTGATGAGTCTCACTTTAGAGTGTGTCCCCTTGTACAGGACTTTTGTAAACTACAGTATAAAGAATAAAGTCATTTGTGGCACTGCTCTTCAGTGATCTACTTAGGCTCAAAGCCAGCCTAAGTTAGGCTGAAAGTTTCCAAAGTCAATGGTTGAATTTTATTTCATGGGCAGTGGGGTGGTGGAATGTGTGCTCTGGAAGGTGAAAGGATGATGAAGAGGTGAAAAAAAAGAAAGGCAAGCAAAGGAAAGGAGTAGCACTGCCTCTCCTGCAACTTACTTGTCTGTTTATTCATTTGTTTATTTAACTTTCATACCACCCATCTGAATAAAGACTACTCTGCATGGTTTACAGTGTTGAAGATACAACAGTAATAATATAACAACATACGTAACTAGAAATTCCAAATGAACACAAAATTGACAATACAGTACATTTTAAAATACTTTTAAAAATATTTAAAAAGTAGGTGGTAATTAAAACAAGTTACTGGCTAATTCAGCGGTCTCCTCAGATGAGATGTTTTGGAAAGCCTGCCGACACATAAGAGTTTTTAGTGATTTCTTGAAAATCGACATAGAAGGAGCCAGGGAGATTTCAGATGGCAGTTTGTTCCATAGCCGAGGAGCAACTGTTGGGAAAGCCCAGTTCCTTGTTTTCTACCTCTTGGCCTCTTTCCAGGCTGGCATCCTCAGCTGCCTTGCCTGGGATGAGAGTGTACAGCCATGTACTACAAAAAAGGAAAGGTGTGCAAGGCAGGGATCAGAGGCAGATGAGGCAGGAGGATGAAAGACGCAAGAGATTGATGGGCAGGGTCAGCTATGCCATGCGTAAGGCAGCTGCCTCAAGAAATTAGTTTTGGACATAATGAGAGGGCAGCAGGTAACTTGATTTGTTGTTATAGCATATTTAATGACATGGCTGCAGACAGGTACATGGGAGTTTCTGCTTTATGGCAAAGGGATTCAGCATATTAGGTACTGTGAGGGAATGGGGTGGGTGGAGGGGGGACCATTTGCTCTTCTTCATGAAACAGCAAAACGTCCTGGAGATGTGAAGTGAGGAAGACCTGGGTAGGTTCTCAAACAGCAAAACGTCCTGGAGATGTGAAGTAAAGACCTGGGTAGGTTCTGCCTTCTTTCTGTCCTGGGTAGCACAAGGTTGTGCTACTTGAGGTGAAGGACCAGATTGTGCCCCTCCCTCCATTCGACACCCAGAAGCCAACAGGATTACCTGTTGACCACTGACCATGGGACAGCATCCGCCCCCTTACCTGAGGGCAACAGGCTAATTTAGGGGACAGGTCGCATAGCACGATAGCTGATACCTCCAACTGTGGAGAGGGACAGTGTGAAGGACCAGGAGGAAAAGTTAAAGGACTCCCATCACTTCTTTCCTGCATCTGCTCCTCCACAACAGCCTGATGGGTAGGTAGGGCAGCTCTGAACACAGAGAGGCATAAGCAGAGTGGAATGCAGATTGCATTGGATTACACAAGAGCCTTAACACCCTCTTCAGGGAGAGCTGGCAACCCCTCATAGACCTCCCCTCCACCCGAGGACACCACATTTTGCTGCAAAAATGCTACTCCTGAGGTGCCTGAAAATCCTCACAGAGAATGTCCTGGATGTGGTTCTCCCAGACTGGGCCTGATGGGAACTCCTCCTATCAGCCTCCCCTAGTCTGCATCTCTCGCTTCCCTCCCTCTTTCTTTCTTTCTGTGCTTCCCAGACTGCAGATGGGAAGCTAGATGACCCAGAGCGAGCAGGGGTGTTTCCCACTTTCTTTTCGGCCTGCCTGACTCACTAGCTGGGCCCTTTGCCTTGACTAAAAGTCTCTCTGCCTAGTTGATTCCCTCTCGGGCAAGTGGGACCCTCGATCCTGCTATTAACACCATGCAACGCTCCTTCTTCTTTTTGGGTGAGTCTCGTTCTATGATGCAGTGCAATTTTCCTTTGTGGGCAGCTGAGGCTGTCAAAGGGAACTTATCTTCCACCAGCTGGATTGGACTCCAGCAGAGCTATGAAGTGTGGGTGTGAGTGTGAGTAATGATGGGGAACATGATGCCTAGGTTTGACAATTCCCCCCCCCAAAAAAAAACTCCTCTGCATGGGAAACTGCATTTTGTTCACAGACCTTGCAAAGAAACCTATTCTTGGATCAGTGCAGCAAAAGCTTCCAATTTTACATAGGAAACCAGGGACCCTTAGGAGCAGAGATGGGGGAAGTTTTTTTTTAAATATAACTCCCAGAATACCATAGGCCAGGTCGGTTTGAATATCCCAAGGTTTGTAGTCCAAAAAAGTAATTTTTCCCATCTCTGCTCTGTCTTCATGCCTCTCTTCCCTCAGTTGTTATCCCTTGCTGAAAACCTTTCTCAATCTGCTGCATCTCGCAGTGATTTAATCTGCAATACCTTGTCTTTCACTGCTTTCTTAAAGAAGAGAATGTTAGTGAACTCGCCGTAATCGTTGACTTGAAAAATAAAAATAAAAACCTTGGAGAATATCAATTCGCTTTACAGATTTGATTGCAATTTTATGGAAATGCTGCAATTCAACCCCACTCTGCAACATTTTACTGCCTCTTATGAGGAGTGAAGGAATGAAAGAAAAATAATGCACTGGCATTTTGCCTCTGTCTGTGCACATGCGGCTGACATGAAATATGTTGAGGGTCTCTCAAAATTTGCTAGAGAGTCAAGGGTGGGGATACAAATGGGAAAATACTTGTATATGCTAGCACATTTTAGTGAAGACCTGCCTCCTCAACAGGCATAATGTGAGCAGTGTGTTGACCAGGGTTCCTTCCAGAAAATAATGTCTTTTTGTACCATAAAGAAAAAATTTTGGAACATATCAGCATGGTAAATCCTACCTACCTACCTACCTACCTACCTACCTACCTACCTACCTACCTACCTACCTACCTACCTACCTACCTACCTACCTACCTACCTACCTACCTACCTACCTACCTACCTACCTACCTACCTTCCTTCCTTCCTTCCTTCCTTCCTTCCTTCCTTCCTTCCTTCCTTCCTTCGCATTGCACAATTAAAATTAAACACAAATTAGAATATCAAGATAATTAGACTATTTTTGTTCAGAAGCAGGGTACTTCAATATCTCAGTAATTTGCTAGATCTTATTTTGTACCTGTGGTGGGGCATACATTGTATGCACACAATTGCTGCATTGATTGCATTTCTCCACAGTCATCTTGTATCCAAGTAGCCTTGATTATTATTTGATCTTCCTACTTCACTTCAAAGTCTATTAAGTGATTTCTGAGCTAGAATTTCACCTAGAGTTTTGTCCTGGTGGGAGACACTCTTCAGCATACATCCATTCAGCAAGGTGTGTTGTTTGTAAATTAATCCAGAAGTAGCTAGGTTTAGCCTAGCTACTTCTGGATCAATATTTAAAGCTTGAGATAGGTATAGAAAACGTTTCCTCAATTTATGAGGAAATTTCTTATGAAATACTTCCTCTAAAATCTTGTGTGTCACCCTGCCATTGTATAAGTCTTTCATGGCACAACAGTGGGCTTTTGAGGTAGGGTAGATCTGACATATCTAATGGAGGAATAAGACATTCAGGTGCTGATAACTTAAGTATCACCACTCTGTCTTTTTTCCCCCCCAAGGCTAAACGTGACCAGTTCTTTCAGTCTTTCCTCATAGGGCATAGTTTCCAGCCCCCAGATCATCATTACTGCCTGCCTCAGAACTTGTTCCACTTTGAAAGGTTCCCCTTGACAATTTTTGTCCAGTCGTGTCCGACTCTAGGGGGCGGCGCTCATCCCGCTCTTCAAGCCATAGAGCCAGCGTTTGTCCGAAGACAATCTTTTCCGTGGTCACATGGCCAGTGTGATTTAGACACGGAGCGCTGTTTACCTTCCCACCGAGATGGTACCTATTTATCTACTCGCATTTGCATGCTTTCGAACCGCTAGGTTGGCGGGAGCTGGGACAAGCGACGGGCGCTCACTCCGTCGCGTGGATTCGATCTTACGACTGCTTGGTCTTCTGACCCTGCAGCACAGGCTTCTGCGGTTTAGCCCACAGCGCCACCACGTCCCTTTGTTAAAGCCACCCTTTCTGGTGAGATCAGGCATGTACCGCTGCAGCCTTCTGATTGTACTCTAAGACTGCTTCAGAGTTTGGAGTCAACCTCTTTCAAAAAATAGGGTGCAAGTGAATGCAAGAAATAATGCCATCAGCTACGATTAGGAGGATCAATTAGGAAAGAGCAGTTAACCAGAAGAAGGCAAGCCAAGAATGTAAAAATAGAAATAGAATCTTCTTCACTTACACGATTGTGTGAGGGAAATTGAACAAACACTCCCCCTTTAGGAAGTATCAGTCACACAAGGGACAGCACATTTGAGTGGAAAAACTTGTGCCCTTGTGCATACAGTTTTGCTTAACAGGATTTTGGCTAGAGACTTTTTAAATCTGTAATGGTAGTCTTCACAATTTTACTCCCGCTGGTAAGGGATTGTAGGAGTCAACGGTTAATACTAGCATCCATGTAAGGTTTACGTAACTTGTAGCTAATTGAATGAGCTGCCTGAGTATCCTGTACTAAACTGCACAAAGGAGATGCTTCCCAGGACCTTTGCAATTAGCTGCAATCATTTGTGGCAGAATATGCAAACCCTTCATGAACACCAATAGGATTCTAGCTATTTAATTCTTGAAATATTATTATTGTTGCTGCTGTTAGTTGTATGCAGATTCTTCCAACTGTCTCTGCCTTATCCGTGAGTCTAAAGGAACATTTATTCCTGAACACATAATCTGGCTTGGCAATATGCCCTGCTCTTCAGAACACATCTCAAAATGTATGATAGGATGGCCTTCAGCTTGTTCTTACTCTTTAGTAACATTTTATTTTGTTTTCACAGCTATTTTCATGAGTCTTCACACCACAGGTAAAAATGAAGGAATCCTTCTACTTTTTTCCACCCCCCTATGAACCTTAAAATGGAAAGTTGTTATCATTTATATTTGGCAGTGAGCTGAATTTTCCAAGTGTAGATCTTTATGCAGGCAAAAAAACGCACAAGCTAAACACAAGTTGCAGGCACCAGTCCCTTGGAAAGGTTAAGAAAAATATTTTTTTAATATGCTCAAATATTAGGTATCCAAAAAGAGGGCAGCCAGTGTAGTGATTATACTCAGGACACCTGGGTTCAAATCTCTGGTTGGCCATAGAAATTCACTAGGTGGTGGCAGTAGTCAATCACTCATTGAACATCTCAACATACCTCAAAAACTCTGTCAGGGGTGTTATAATTGGACAATGACTTGATAGCCCATAACATCACAATCCCACTGTGTAGATCTTTATGCAGGCAAAAAAACGCACAAGCTAAACACAAGTTGCAGGCACCAGTCCCTTGGAAAGGTTAAGAAAAATATTTTTTTAATATGCTCAAATATCAGGTATCCAAAAAGAGGGCAGCCAGTGTAGTGATTATACTCAGGACATCTGAGTTCAAATCTCTGGTTGGCCATAGAAGCTCACTAGGTGGTAGCAGTAGTCAGTCACTCTTCGAACATCTGAACATACCTCAAAAACTCTGTTGGGGGTGCTGTAATTGGAAAATGACTTGATAGCCCATAACATAATCCCACAGGAGGGGAGAACCCCACACAGTCAAAAGAGGACTGGACATGTTTGGTCACTATGGTAATATGGTTGACTGTAGGATGGAGGGAGAGGAATATGGAGAAAACCGGCAGGAGAAAGAATGAAAGGGAAACACCATGGAAGAGAGCACAACTGGTTTGGTCAAGCCTGAACAAGAGTCGTTGCAGGTCCAATTTACTTTACATAATGAGATATACACCACATGGATTACCCCACTTTTTTGCATACTGTGGCCCCCCAGGATGATCCATGTTGTTGCAGCGTGACCTAATCACATGCAATAGGTTTCCTCTCTGGTAGTAATTCTCAGGGACAAAAGGCAGGGAGATGGAGGCCAGAAAAAGTACCAGCTGTGCCCTTCAATCATGTTGTAAGGCAGCACACTTACCCATTCATGGTTTTGTGAACATTCAGCTGAGAGAGAGGTTTGATTGTCGCATTGCTTTAATCTAGCTAGTTCTGAGCTTTGTGATCATTGTCTTGAGAGCCAATAACATTGTTTAAGAAATCCGAATGGAAGTGAAAAAAGTTTGAGGACAGGTTTGAGAGGTTTCACAATTAAGTAGGAAGGTGGTATATCAAATGTCTATGCCTCCTGATTAAATTGGGAGGGACAGACATGTTGGTATCTATGTCACTTTAGTGACCCCTTTTTCCCAGCAGGCTCATTCCCAGTACGTTTAATTGGAGGCCCGAACCTCTGCGTGGGACGGGTGGAACTTTTCCACCAAGGCAAATGGGGGACGGTGTGTGATGATGACTGGGACATGCAGGATGCAGCTGTGGTATGCCGAGAGCTGGACTGCGGAGAAGCCCTTTCAGCTCCCCATGGGGCTTGGTTCGGGGAAGGAGCTGGCCCCATCTGGCTGAACGAGGTGCGTTGTGTGGGTACTGAGTGGCACCTCCACTCCTGCCGCCACCTTGGCTTTCGTAGGCATGTCTGCACCCATGAGGAGGACGCCAGTGTCATCTGCTCAGGTGAGACTCTTGCGTTCACACTGAGGTTGCCTCCACAAGATGTGAAGGGGGATAAATATCTTGCCACACAGTTCCATATGAGTGAAAAGATATTAGCAACATCCCTAGAATATGTGAGGTGCAGAGTGGATTTCCCTCAGTTTCATGTAACTGTAACTCTACAACACTGACATTATATGCTTCCAGTTCAAAGGAAATGGTTTCAGCATCAGCATCCTTCTGCATATGAAGTGAGCACTGTGAGGAACAAGCAACATTTTTCAGATCACAGTAATATTTGCTAACCTCTATTTCAGATGTTTAGTTTGTAAGACTGAATAGGGTTGTTAATGGTAGGACTTTTTGGAGGCCTGTAATTCATTTTACTACCGTGTTTCCCTGAAAGACAGGGTCTTATATTAATCTTTGCTCCAAAAACCACATTAGGGTTTATTTGCAGGGGATGTTTTATTTTTTTCCTGTACAACAATCTACATATATTCAAATACAGTCATGTCGCCTTCTTCTGGTTGCTGCACAAGGGTGGAGGGCGGGGTTTCACTTAACTAGGGCTTATTTTAGGGGTAGGGCTTATATTACGAGCATCCTGAAAAATCATACTAGGGCTTATTTTCAGGTTAGGTCTTATTTTCGAGGAAACAGGGTATAAATCAGAATCAACTTGATGGAACAATCCATCTGAGATCCAAACAGCTGAAGAAGAGGAGACACCTCTTAGGTAGAAAAGAATGAATTTGCAAACTGGACAGGACTTGAGGCCCTCAAAAACAGAAGCTCTTACTTTTTTCCCCTGCTAAAGTCTTTACCCAAATATTTTTGAAGGAATCTGCTTGTTCCAGAGACTTCCTGAAAGCAAAGAGATGTTCTCTGTTATGTCTGATTTAAAGCAGATCCCAAGGAAAGTAGAGGTGGATCAACTACACAGAGTCAACAATTCAGCCCTAGCATTTCCCACAGGTTGCACTGAGCCTGGAGATATACATGAATAAAAATGGTAAAAAATATAAAGGAAGAGAAAAAGAACAAAGTGAGCGTCCAAATTTTCATTTCCAGATTCAACCTTTGGAAGTTATGGAGTCTGGGAGGACTTAAGGCACTGGTTCCTTAACCTTGGGTTACTCAGGAGTTTTGGACTGCAACTCCCAGAAGCCTTCACCACCAGCTGTCCTGACTGGGGTTTCTGGGAGTTGCAGTCCAAAAGCATCCGAGTAACAAAGGTTAAGAACCACTGACTTAAGGGACCACCCCAACAGCACCCGAAAGTAAAACTGGCCTCCAGGAATAGAAAAGCCCCTTTTATTGGGAGGCATTTTTTTTTTACTTTTATATCAGTGGTTCTTAACCTTTTTTACTCAGGTGTTTTTGAACTGCAACTCCCAGAAACCCCAGCCAGCAGAGCTGATGGTGAACGCTTCTGGGAGCTGCAGTCCAAAAACATCTGAGTAACAAAGGTTAAGAACCAGTGTTTTACATGATGGGGCTCAGGAGGGTGTGTGCAGCCTGTGTATCATGCTTTGTTTGCCCCTGAGGTAAAGGACATTAAATTACTGCTTAGTATGTAGTTGAACAATGAGGGTGGACCTGTTTGTTGCAGGTTACAAGGAGAGTCAGTGTAGCCAGTGTGGCTTTCGGGAGGGGGCTTTTTAAAACGTGTAACATTTTGGGCCTCTTTATTGGAAGAAGGACAGTCTATAAAGAAAACAAGCAAATAAAAAAAATAACAGAGCAATTTATATGAAAAAGGCCAACTTCAGCACTCCCTTGAAGGGACCACACACCCCTCCCTTTTTTTTTGGATTTATGGAAGAATATAGCATCAGCTTTAAATGACAGGCTGCATGTGAGGTTTGGAGATGATGAACAGGGAACTGGACTTCAAAAGCTGGCCTTCAGTAACCACTGATTTTTCTGTCCCTAAATAAAAGTGGAATCTGGGCATTCTGTAATTCATTGCGGGCCCCTGGGCCAAGAACTTGCTCTCAATTTCTCTTCTCGTGTTTCTTATACAGAACAGCGCTTCCCTCCTTTCACTGCTGCACCCCCTCCCACGGCTTTCAGGAGGGGCCAACTAGAGGAAGTAACTGAAACAGGACCTCATTTATCTCCTACACCTGCTGAGGGTGAGTATGCAGAGCACAGTGGTGCCTCGCTTAACAATTGCCTCATTGAACGACGAAACTGCTATATAATGAAACAGGACCTCATTTATCTCCTACACCTGCTGAGGGTGAGTATGCAGAGTGCAGTGGTGCCTCGCTTAACGATTGCCTCATTAAATGACGAAACCGCTATATAACGACTGTTTTGCAATTGCTTTTGCGATTGCAAAACGATGTTTTAATAGGCAAAATTCGCTTTCTGACGATCGGTTCCCTGCTTGGGGAACCGATTCTTTGCTAGATGACGTTTTTAGAACAGCTGATCCGCGGCTTCAAAATGGCCACCCGCTGTGTAAAATGGCTCCCCACTGTGTTTTTGGATGGATTCCTCGCTTTAGAGGCACCAAAAATGGCCACCCCTATGGAGGATCTTCGCTGAACGGTGAGTTATTCAGCCCATTGGAACACATTGAACGTATTGCTGAAATCCATCATGGATTATCCTCATTAAGCGAGACACCACTGTATTGCTGAAATCCATCACTCCCTGTTCAGCCAGTGTTGCAACGTCCATCTCCAGATTAGGAGCAATGGAAGTACGGATGAGGGCGACTGTGCTGAACCATGCTCAGAAAGCCCGTATGTCTTCTCTCTATAAGCGTGCTCTGCCTAACAGGGTAGATTTTGATCTGGGAGAGTCATTTATTTGCCTCAAGAAGCATTTTTGACTTGAATCTCTCAGGAATGGTGGTTCTCCTGGGTGGATTTGTTTTAAGGCTAAAACAGAAATTAGGAAAAATGTATGCAGAAAAATCTGTTAGGATGAGATATGGGGGGCAGGACTATGCTGAAAGGCTTTGCTCAATGAAGATTTTAAGAAAAAAATCAGGCAAACTTTTGGAAATATGTCAGCTGCAGAGTTATAGGAGCCCAGTCCCTGGTTGCTGTGCTTTTTAATGGTTCTGCATTTAATCAAGCGATATTTAAGTAACATCATTTTTTTCAGTCCATTTTAATATTATGTCCAAAATTCTGTTGCATAATGTAAGCAAAATCAAAAGTTTTGGTCTGTTCATGCACTGATAAATAAATAGCCCCCACCATGATTCCTGGGGGCCTGTGAGCACATATGTATACGCGGAACCCCAAGAATGGTGGCAGGGGCTTACACTACACAACAGAATTTTGGCCTATATTCATGCTGTTTTGTATTGGTACATATTGCGATCTTGTTACAAGCTGCCTGGAGTCCCAGGTTTAAGGGAAAGGCAGGATGTCAATTAAATGGATAAAACTAACCAATAAATAAATAAATACCCTAACTTCAGCTCTCCAGCTATAGCCTTTCTTAAACCACACTTCTCTTTCCTCATGCAGGGTCTCCTTCTCTGCGCCTTGTGGGCGGCCGAAGCCACTGTTCTGGCCGGCTAGAGATCTTTCATGAAGGGCAGTGGGGAACAGTGTGTGATGACATGTGGGACCTTCTAGATGTTGCCGTGGTCTGCCGAGAACTGGACTGTGGAGAGGCTCTGGCAGCACCGGGTGGTGCTTTCTTTGGTGAAGGAAATAGTGTCATCTGGTTGGATGATGTACAGTGCCAAGGAGAAGAGGCAACTTTGGCAGAGTGTCATACCAGCCCTTGGGGGACAAACAACTGCCGACATAGTGAAGATGCTGGAGCTGTCTGTTCAGGTGAGACTGGCATAGCATAGAGGTATTACTGGTTTATTGGTCATACATGGGTCCCAGACTGGATGGATAGATCAGTGGCTTGGGTACATGGTCTGATTCACCACTATGCCTTCCGCAAGTAGAGCCAGCCTGTGTGGCCTTGTCCAAGCTGCATAGTTCTAGGATGCCCCCAGAAGAAGGGAATGGCAAACCACTTCTGAGTACTCTCTACCTGGAAGACCCGGAAAATGGTCACCATGAATCTGAATTTACTTGATAGCCCATGATAATGATAGTGATAGCTCCGAAGGAAATCTAGGAACTTTACTTCCGTGAATGGGCAAAAACCTAAACAACTCTAATGGATTTATCACATCATCTCTCTGAATTATTCCGAAGAATTTTTTGTGTGAAGCCATATGTATAGTTTAAACATGCCTTGGCGTTCTAAGGGTATTCAAACATTGCCCATGATGCAAGGGGGTTGTTTGGTAAACAAAAAAAAATGCTTTCAAAATCAGAAATTGGGTATTATTTGTGCTTTTGGACTACCAGTGGCCATGCTGCCTGGGAAATTCTGGTAGTTGCAGTTCTGAAACATATATATGGACAATTATACCTTGCGGATGATAGATGCGTAGTGGGGTCAGGATTGTGCAAATAAGCTCCACTTCCATCTCCCACACTTCCATAGAGGTCAGTCTCAACTTCATGTGATGAATGTCAAGAATTTAAGACAACTCTGTAAGCACATTTGACTACTCACATTTAAGTGGTTGGGTGCCCTTTCTTGTTTGGGTTTGGACATTTGTCTGGACATTCAGCTGAATACAGTTACCAGCTGCTTGTCAGAAGTGGACAGCTGCAGAAAGGCTGGAGGGCAGGGCTTATGCGCATCCTCACATTTCCACCATGCATGGACTTCTCTATGCTTTCAAACATACTTTCGGAATATGTCTTAGATATACTGTACCATATTTATATATATACGTATTCAAGCCATAGCAATAATTAACACTTATACACCGAATACTACTGCTCTAAAACACCATTTGAGATATTAGTTGCATTGCAGCTTCTTTGACTCAACTGAGTCTGTTACCTGATTTACCTTCTCACCACAGGCGAAATGCCCCTGGCCATGGTCGAAGAACACATGGCGATGCTCTCAAGAACCGTGGCACCTCAGAGATCCAGGTCGCTAGCTCCAAAGAGAATCCCGCGTCCTGTTCGCCCTACAAGAGGCCAAGAAGAGCCTGTGGCTAATGAAGTATCACACACACAGGAGAGCCCAAAGGGACATGCTTCAGAAGAAATACTGGGTGGTGAGTAGCATCCAGAAACAGGCATTTGCCTCCATCGCAGACTGCAAAACATTGAAGTACTATTGAGACGTCCAGCGCTCCGTCTCGCCCAATGAGACTTAACCACTTAACCAGCCTGTGACTTCAGACATGGTGGACAGAGTGCTGTCCACCACCTCCTCCCTTAACCCTTGCCTGGCCTGGCTAAACAAAGCAGCCAGGCCTATAACATCTGAATGGGCTATGGCAATAATTAATGGGTCTCTCCAGGAGGACAAGGTTCCCGTTGCCCTCAAGGAGACACTCATTAAGCCCATTAGGAAGAAACTGAGCTTGGTGGTGAACAATATTGGTAATTATAGGCCCATCACCAATGTTTCTTTTCTCAGCAAGGTAGTTGAGAGGGTGGTAGCCAATCAGCTGCAGGCTTTTCTGGATGAAACCAATGCCCTGGATCCATTCCAGTCAAGCTTCAAGCCATGCCACGGCACAGAAACAATATTGGCCACCCTCTTTGATTACCTACTGAGGGAGGCTCTACATCTCCTTTTTTCAAAAACTAGTGGATGCTGTTTCGTTCCTTGAGCACTTCCTGGGGGCTGTTCAGCAATGGATGCAAGTGAATGGACTGAGGCTGAATCTGGACAAGACAGAGGTCCTTCGGGTGGGTGTCCCAGACATCAGTGGTCTGGAAAACACCTTCTCCTTTGGGGGGGGCTTACCTACTGAGGGAGGCTCTACATCTCCTTTTTTCAAAAACTAGTGGATGCTGTTTCGTTCCTTGAGCACTTCCTGGGGGCTGTTCAGCAATGGATGCAAGTGAATGGACTGAGGCTGAATCTGGACAAGACAGAGGTCCTTCGGGTGGGTGTCCCAGACATCAGTGGTCTGGAAAACACCTTCTCCTTTGGGGTGGTGGTGGTGACTCTTACCCCCAAGAGTGAGGTTCACAGTTTGGGTATACATCTGGACCCGGCGCTCACCATGGAGACCCAGGTGTCGTCAGTGGTTCATTACGCACATTTCCACCTTCAGCGGATTGCCCAGCTGCATCCCTGTCTTGATGTGGGGGTGCTCACCACTTTGGCCCATGCGCTCATAGTCTCAAGATTAGACTACTGTCATGCGCTCTATATGAGACCGCCTTGCATTGGCTCCTCATTTGTTTCTGCGTTGATTTCAAAGTTCTTACGATTACATATAAAGCCCTAAGCGGTTTAGGACCTCGATATCTGGCAGAGTGCCTTTTCCCACCCAGTTCTGCCAGAGTTCTGCTGTTGTCTCTGGCCACTGCCTTCTCGCCACTTTGCCAGCCAAAGAAAGATAGGCATTGAGTTGTAGTTGCTTAGGGGCAGACTGTGTACAAAAGTGGACAGCCATAATCATGTAATCATTTTTATTAATATTGTTTTGCTCAAATACTTACAGAGGAATTGAGGTGTCAAGAGCCTACCAGTTTCCTTAGGCAACCGAAGAGATACCTGGGTTCCCCATTTGTATTGTTCTACAAGGCTAAGAAGAACAGCCTTGTGCATGTTATGTAGATACAAAACCCACAACTGCATGGTCAAATGTAAAGATTCCCCTAGGACTGCTATCACAACAAAGCCAAGGGCTGCACGACCCCCCCCCCCCGTTGTATTTGAGGAGAAAACAAAATGCTGGAAGATCCGTTTATGGGTCCTCTCTGTCATGTCTGGTTACAGAATGTGTGCCTCTCCCAGAAGCCAGGGGCTGCACAATCATGGTATCTGGATGCCTTAGAATGGGTTATGTTTGTGTGCAGATGAAATATAGACCTTTGACGGTGTCTATGATGACAAGACAGCCCCAAAAGGGAAACACTGTGGTTAATGAAGAAGCAATCTGTGATGTGCAGCACTTTGACTCTTTTCGTTGTCTAATCATTTCCCATTTTAGGTCAATGGCGAGTGCGACTGGTAGGAGGCCCTGGATCTTGCGCTGGGCGAGTGGAGGTTCTCTATAAAGATCGTTGGGGAACAGTGTGTGATGATGGCTGGGATCTAGTGGATGCAGCCGTGGTGTGTCGTGAGTTGGGCTGTGGGGCCCCTCTTCTCAGTCCTGGTAATGCACGTTATGGACCAGGATCTGGTCCTATTTGGTTGGATGATGTCAACTGCACTGGGTCAGAATTCACTCTGCGGCGCTGTCGCTCCCAACCTTGGGGAAAGCACAACTGCAATCACCATGAGGATGCTTCTGTCATCTGCACAGGTGGGGAACTACCTAATTTCTATCCTTCAGAGAGCCCATTGACCTGGTTCTTGGGAATGACCAGAAATGTTGTTTTCCAGGAAGAAACCAACAATTGGTTGTTTTGGTCTGAGTTTATAAAACAAGGCAATGAAAAGTTCAGACTTTGGGGGTGGAGTGGTAGTAACAATGCTCTAAGCAGGGTAGAACCTAGTTTGGTTTTAGGGACTAATCTCAACATTTTATTCCAAATAAATCTACAGTAGGATTCCTATACCCATGGGGATTGCTTCTAACTCCCTCGTGCAGTTTCTTACCAGACCACTCTAGGCGGCTAACATTATACAAAATGTTAAGGGCAAACATACAAAAAATATTTTCACTATGTATTACTAGAACTGGACAGGGTCCGCAGCCTGGGGGTGCTCCTGAAGCCCAGTCTAACTCTGGAAGCCCAGGTGGACTCAGTGGCCAGGGGTGCCTTCCTTCAGCTGTGGAAATTATACCAGCTACGGCCCTACCTGGATGAGTGGAGTCTCATGACAGTTACACACACACTGGTAACATATCACATAGATTACTGCAATGCGCTCTACATGGGGCTGCCTTTGAAGACAGTCCGGCAACTGCAACTGGTCCAGAATTGAGCTGCACGGCTGGTGAGTGGTGGG